CTTTCTGTTGCTTGATGATGTCTAAAGCTTGGGAGGCACTTTGATATTTATATTTTGTATCTGAGTATTTGCGGACTACATTTATCTATTACATAACCATATACCTCTCTGATTATAACTTGCAATACCAAGTATTCTTCAAAGATGTGAACATCTGGAGTCCCTGAAAATCACTACACTCTCTTCAATAATTAAGATATAGCTAACTAGGAAGTGTGCTGTTCTCAATAGTAATTATTCGATCATCAGAGTCTTTATACTTATAGCCTAGTTCTCAAGTCGAACTGAGTTGGCCCCAATTGTCTCTGTCATTGATGAAATGATCAGTTTCATCTACAGGTTGTATCTGCAAAGGTGGTCTTAATTGCAACCTTCCTAGATTGCCTAACTTCAAACCTCTATAACTCTATATTCAATCTACAGATATCCTCTGGAGGACTTCCTACTAATTTGCAGAAAGCTATTCCACTGGATTGACAGATAATCTCTTGGTTGGTAACCCTTAGTTACTCTGGGTAACAGGGTTTCAATTGCTGTTCTAGTATTGAGAATCATTCCTGCAACTATAATGCATTCCTAGACCCAGTTGTAACACTCTGTAAAGTCCATTGGCTTCTACAGTAGTGTTTTTCGGAGTTCTAGACTCTTCTGGTTATTATAGGTTGGATGTGAATGTATTGGTTTCTCATTGAGATTCTTTACCATTTGATACTATAGTTTAGTGCAAAAACGTCCTATTACCTACTGCCTATGCCAAAAATATTACATCCTTGAAGCCTAATAACTCTCTGAGTAGTTTACGGATTTACTCTGTTTTACTTCTCAGACCTAGCTGAAGGTCCCCTCTTATATATCTTGCAAACAGGATCTGGTTGAATAGATGACGGTTACATATACAGTGTTATTCTTTCACCTTCAATTCTGTGGCATTATAGTCACAGGATACAATTGAGATTGATATAATATAATGACATATGGGCCCTGTAGTGGGGTCAGAGGGTGGTGGTGGAGACTAGAGATTCCAGTTCTGAGTAGGGTTATCCTACTTAGAGTGGTTCTTGGCTATTGGATCCTGGTATTCCTAAAACTATCATTAACTATTTTTTCATATTAAATTTTTATGATAAATAAATTTTTTTTTATATATTAACTGGCTTTTTTTTTTTTTTATATTACTTTTCACTGGCAGTAATTTATAATAATTGTATAACAATATAAATCTCCATAGTAAAAGCAAAGGTATTGTAAAATTAAGTTGTTCCCTCATACTTGGTTTTGCTTTACATGTACTAAAGTACTAGGACAAAAGGGTTTATCTGATCAGTGGTTACTGAGTAACGCCTTAAAAAATCCCACATACTCAATAAACTTCCTCTCAACAACCATGTTTCCAAAAACTACAAGCTACCTTACTGACTTTGAAAAGGGGCAAATTGTTGCTTTAAGGGAAAATTTTTATTTTATTCTGAAATAGGACAGCTCTTACTTTGCCCTAAAAGTACTGTTCAAAGTTTTTACAGCCATTATCAAAAGTGGAGTGATGTAAAAAACTTCCCATTTACTAGAAGACCTAAAATTATCGTTCCCAAAACCTATTGCTATCTAGTCAGAGAGTCCAAAAAGGCATACTACTAGCCAATTTCAGAATTCCGAAATGAGATTGTCCCAAATGCCTCTGTTAAGACAGTTAAGAGAACTTTAGCATCAGTTAACATAAAGAAGAGAAGAGCTGGGAAAAGGGCATTTCTGAAGGATGAACATGCTATCAAGAGATTAGCTTGGGCAAAAGAGTATAAGAATTGGACAAAAGAGGACTTTGAGGGGGTCATCTTTAGTGATAAATGCATGGTTGAAAAGTCCAAGGATCTTAAGGGTATTTGGATCTTCAGAACACCTGAGGAAAAGTGCTATAAGCACTATATCCAAGGAGTTACCAAAGAACCTGGGATAAAGTTGATGGTATGGGCTTGTATTTGGAGTAGAAATAAGAGTCCTCTGATTACTATTTTTGACAAGAGTGTGAATAGATTTGTGTATATTGGAGTTTTAGAGGATGGCTTAGTTGATGCCTAGCAGGAGGTGGAGGACACAGTTGGAGATCCTATCTTTCAGCAGGATGGTGCAAAGATACATACTGCAAGAGATACTATGGCTTGGTTTCTAGAAAACAACATACAGGTTATGGAATGGCCACCCAATTATCCTGACCTCAATCCTATTGAGCACTGTTGGAGAAGGGTAAAGAAAAAGCTACACCAATTCTTTCCTAGCATTCACAAGACCAATGGAGGTCCAGATACTAATAGGAGATCTCTAGCAGAAGCTCTTGATATGTTTTGGACTCAGGATATTGAAGGAGAATTCTTGGAAAGGCTATGGGAGTCAATGCCTAGGAGAGTGGCTGCTGTTTTAGATGCAAGGGGATGGTATACAAAGTATTGAATTTTTTTCTTTGCAATTTCACATAAGGTTTTTCTTATATTCAATGGATGTCTATCTAATTTTTCAATTCATTCTAAGCAGTTGTGGTTGCATAAGTAGTAAATTTATAGTGGCTGTAGGGTTGCTGTTGCCGTGCCGGACAAACCCTTTTGTCCCCGTACTTTACATTTATAACTTGCAAGTAATAGTTACGAGATACTAGTACTAAAATGTACCGAGCAAGAGGAAACCAAATACATAGAACAACGTTAGTTGTCATGGGACCATTCCGTATCTTCTGCCCACAGCCGAGTCCATGTTGAATTGCAGTGCGGGGGTGTCGCGGCCGTCGATGGTGCTCCTAGAACCACCTCCGCTGGTATTTCCATCGCTGTTGCCTTCAGAGCCTCTAGAGGTTCCCGAACTGCCCAAACCAGTAGAACCAGTAGAACCAGTATTACTGGTACTTCCCATGTTGCCACCAGAGCTCGTGCTTTCGCGAGTACCTCCGCTCGTGTTGCCGTTCCCATAATCACTATCTTCAGAATTGGAACCTCTCCCCGCTCCATACGGAGCAACGATATCGATGTCCATGCATGAAGTATACCACTACCATCTGGCGGGTTAAAAACGAGTCGGATCAAAAGACGGGGGGGATCACGAACTTCAACATGCTTTGCATTCCTGGACCCGAAATGGCCCGAGAAATCCCAAACCCAGTAGACCGAGTAGGTGCTCCCAATATCCAGATCGTCCGGTAAGGTAAAGTTGTCCACGCAGGGTTTCATCCGCCCCGTTGGTCCCACGCCGCGCTCCTTACTGATGGCCGTGTTCCCTGGCTCCGCGCACTCCCCGTCGTCGTATGTGCTTCTCGAGAGAAATCTTCCATCGCCTTTGCCGCCCCTGCCATCGCTCGTCCAGTCGAGGGCGTTCTGCAAAGTGTGGCTGCTCGAGGGCTTGCTGGTCCCGTACCAGTAGGTGTAGCCACTGAAGGCGTCGGGTGCTTCAGGTCGCGAGACATGGCCGTTTTCAGTGTGGTGGGCGAGAATGTGTGCCCCCGGGGGGGCTCTGAGGCGAGGAAATCCGGCGAGTGGAGTTGTAGGCTTTGATTGGGAGTTGGGTTTACAAACAGGTGAAGATCGCTGCGCCGGCTGATAAGTATTGTGTACATCGACTTCATTGTTCCGACCAGCTATTTTTTTTTTGTGAAGGGTCAATTGAGTTCAGAGGGGGGGGTGGAGGGCGAGAAATACCATAACCACGGATATAACCTAAGACCCCCTTCCCCTCGACTTGGATATCGTCAATCTAGCATGTATGAGTTAGCTGTGAGGGCACTCGATGGGAGTGTATTCGCCTACCCATGAGTGGGATTGGACTCTTTCAATACCCAAGAGTATCAGAGAGACTATAGCGAAGAAACTGGAATATAGCGACCTCATAGTGGCAAAATTCTACCTGCGAAAGTTGTTTTCCGAGTGAGCGTCTGCCGGCAGTCTACAGAGTATTCAGAGGAGTGTTCTCCTTGCTGAATTTTATATACACTAGTTCCAATCTATTCAACTCTAAGGCCCGATAATAGAGCTAACACAGGGGCGCTTCACCTGGGGCTCATGGCACAATTGCATATACTCGCTGCTGCTATCTGCATATGGTCGGATGTTTGGTCTGATCGCTGGATATCGCCTTCTCCACGCTGGTCGCGACGGGATTGGGCAGGGCTAGGGCTTGCTGAACTGTTCCTGCAGGGATGGCTGCAGGAACAACGGATAAGCAACCGAAAGGCAAAATGATTGGCGGAAAGGCGATCCTCTGTTTCAAGGAATCTGTTGCACCCTCACGAACTCGTTGGTCGTTTTGGGGTTCGCTGGGCAGTTATCCAATGTGCTACCCCGCCGTGAAACCAGTCTGGTGAGTGATGCTTTGTGAAGTCTTTTTTTCGCACGCGTTCTAACAAGGATGGAGCCTAGAGGTGATTTAAGGAGTTAGAAACTAGGTTGGATGTAGCGCTGGTACCGTACCAGGAGCTCGAATGGATATATGTCAAACATGGTTGATATTTCTGTTGCGCCTCCTTAGAATCGACTCCTAGGGCTAGGGTTGACAGTGACGTGGCATACTTGCTGTTGGACGGGGATCGTGGCGCCCCAACCGCAAGTTCAATTGTCGAACTTTGTAGCTCCTCGATTGTTCCTAGCCTTTTCCTGATGAAGTTGGAAGCCTGTGACCGGTGAATTAGCGGAACATGTCTGATCACTCGAGATGGGGATGACTAATCTTGTGCCTCCCAATGTTGATGGCGCTATGTATTGGCCTAGAACTCAGATGTTGGTATTGCGGTTGTAGGAAGTGCAATTAGAGGAAATTGGGCTCATACAGAAGCCGAGTTTTTAAGTTGGGATTCCAAAGGCCCAGTTGTGCCATGGCTGTGCTCGTCGGGGGAGGTAAATTTTGGGAGGAATCTGAGGTGCGAGGGTCGGGGTAAAGATGGAATGAAGATGAGATAGTCGGGGGATGGAGGTTTCCTGTAGCTCTTGGGGGAGGGAGCTGAAGCGGTGCTATATATAAGAAAGGGAGAGCAGTTTTGAAACGGCTCTATAAGCCCACTACGTGTTCCCACCAATTGATTCATTATAACCAAGCACCCGGTAAATTGCGCTCTGTTCTCTCTCTTTTGGAGGTAAACCCCATTGCCATCCGCATTCATTGCATCTCGTGCCTCGACCTTTCGTCTATTATCCAACAAGCATTCCCCTACATTCACCGAAACCGAGCTTCATATCTCCGCACCATGCTTCAAACACTACTTCATCCCCGTCAAGCAAGTATCTCAATTCTGCTTGTCCACCATCTTCGGCTTGGAGCCTTACAGACTTTGTACCACCCTCTGTTGCCTCATAGAGACACCCCAGCTCCAGCTTCTTCCCATCCGCATCTACAGCCTATTTTTATTGTCAGGACTAGGGCCACGGGTTACGCAGGGGGTAAATGGGGGGATCACATCTCCAGATATCGTGCCAGTTCCCATCAAGTCACCTGTGTTCAAGCCACATCCTGCGGAAGCATGATGTGCGAGTTGCTGATACGGTGTCCAATAGAGATACCTCAGATTGCTCTGCGAGATCTTGAACCGCTTTCCAGCGCCTATCAGACCACGTTAACAGTATTCACGTCCTCGGAGTCACTGGCATCTCACGCTCTAGATAAGCAAACAACTTGATGTTCAGCGCAGCCTTTGCCTTATCCCCGTACGCGAGATGGGGAAAGCACGGAGGATTTTGTATGGTTTTAACGGGTACGCTGAACTCTTCCAGTGCATCCATAGTGACAATCCATGGTGATATAGTTGTTGCGGACCCCTTACCATGGAACGGGCCTAATGGTTTCATCTCGAACATTTGCAGGTCACGCGAGCTCCAGTCGTTCAGAAGTACGAATCCAAAGATGTGTTTCTTGGCGTCATCAACATTCATGGTTTCTCCGTGGGGGACAGGTTTGGAAACGAAGTATCCCATCTCCAACTCAAAGTCCACCATTTGGCTGGGGCCATAGACAGCCTCTTCGGTCCCTGTCTTGTAGTAGACACCCGATGGCCGTTTGAAAGTGCTAGGTGAAGGTAGTATACTCGAGACACGCGAATTGTATACTGATGGAGCGTAGAACCAATTTTTGGGAATTTGGGGCATTGAAAGGTGGGCCGAGCACTTCCTTGTATGTCAGAGATCAGGCAATAGATGAGCGGGGGAAAAAAAATCCAAACATTTTGGCAATGCTCTAATGAGCAGTAAAAGTCGGAATAGTCTCCAATATGCATTGGAAGATGCATTTTTGTCCTGGAAGCTTCGACGAAGCAGGATTCCTTCACGTGATTTCCTTGGACATCTTCCCTAATGCGTTGCCTTACAGCACTCCTGGTCGCACTGGATAGTTGTGCGAACGCATTGAGGGATGGCTGGTGATTATGAAGTGTTAGATATAGATAATACCTTAAATTAGCCGGTTGGATGGTGCACTAACCTGAGCAAAGGTTCCTGGGATAAATCCCTCGATATCTTTGGCTCCCCCGTCGGCAGCGTACTTCTTCAAATCAAGCACCCTCTCGCCAACCCGTGTAGCACAGCGAGGGTGGGGCGCTTCCTCCGTGGAGAAAACTCCAAAGGGGATGTTGAATAGCGTGAAGGGAGTTTGGGCCATGTCTTCAGAATTGTTGATAGAAGGTGGAATTGGGGAAGGATCTGGCAGCGGCAGGAGATGGGGAAGCAATAAGAAGAAAGTTTCATGATCCGGATGGTTCGGTAATTGATCGGCTAATCGGTGCGGACTTATGCTATTGTTCTGGGGTGGACCCGGGTATTGAATATCTTTATTCGGGGATAGGCACCTTGCACTGTATGTTGAAGGGGTTCACTGCTGGTTATGGTGGTTGTTTGCGGGTGTGATACTTGGATGCAACACGGATACGATAACAAAGAAACTACCGGTAAATTATCTGGTTGGCGGGACCAGGGTAATGTGAGTATAAGAGGTCGATCGCAACCTCTTAGGAAACCACCTGCTCCTCGGCCGCCAGTGACCATCAGGAAAATAATCAACCCTCCTAAAGCCCAATTCTTTCAAGAATAAATCGAATCATCTTTAAAGTAAGGAAAATCCGCAAATCTCTCCACCGAACCAGCTAACTGACGAAAAAGGAAACCACTCAGAGAGAGAAAAACATGTCTCTACCAACTTCCACCCCAATTGAAGGTCAGCTCTCCACCGGCCTCCCAGAAACCTTTTCCCACATAACTACCCACGATCCCATCACCAAGCAAGCCGTCTTCCACTCCTCCCGCCCGGCATCCTGGAAAGTTTTCGATGGCCACCAAATGGCCTTCAACGTAGTCTACACCACCTCGACATTCCCAGTAGACTTGAGTAACGACGCCGATGTCAAGGCCCATGACAAGATGATGGAGGAGTACAAACTCGGGTTGGTAAATCCTGGCGGCACGGTCCTGCGCATGGTGGATTTTGCTCCCGGATATGAGTGCATCATGCACAGGACTGAATCTCTGGATTATGGGATTGTGCTGGAAGGAAAGGTAGAGGCGCTGCTGGATTCTGGTGAGAAGAGGGTTGTTACTAGGGGCGACGTAGTGGTGCAGAGAGGGACGATGCACGCTTGGAAGAATCCTAGTGAGACGGAGTGGGCGCGGATGATTTTTGTACTGCAGGAGTCCAAGGAGGTGGTTATTGGTGGGGAGGTGCTTGGGGAGAACTTGGGTGCGGGGGTAGAGGGGCTGCCGAGTAGCCGTTAGGTTACGGTGCTTGGTGATTCGTGGATAAGTCACTACTTGAGTAAATGCAATTATCAACTAATTTTTATTTATTTTTCTAATTGAAGAATTAACTTGGATATCCTATTCCTATCAATGTCCTATCTAGAAATTGGAAAGAAAGAAACCCCGATAACTACAATGTAGCCATGAGATGTTATTTATAAAGGGGCCATTTCACCCCCTTGTGTCCCATCTCCACAAGACAGGGAAAGGGGCAAAACCCACGCAGATACATGCGCGGGATAGGGAGAAGAGCTGTTAACCCATTGATCTAGAACAAGGAACGGACTCTCCTATATACTGAAGTCTAGTGTATCATGGTTTGCAGATTTTTTCTGTCTCCGTGAGAACCCTGACTTCTCACGCACTTGTACCGGTACTCGCGCTGGCCAATTGAAGTTGGACAGATATAAAGAGTAGCGATCGTCCGACCAATAACGAGCCCACGTAGGACAACATAGTTGATCACATACAATACAGAGAGGCAGCACCACACCCTATAATCTGCTCTTCTCCAGTACGGCGCGTGGCCTGGAAAACTACTGCATACTCACATAACCTGGATTCTAACTTAGCCATTGAAGTTTTTCTTTACATTACGGGGTGTCGCTCCCTGAAGCTTCTCATGAAATCTTTGGGACCTTTGATCAATCGCAGCCTGAGGAAGGGCTTCATCACAAGTGCCTGTTTGGCTCTATATGTTACCACTTATTTTCTACGGCACTGGTATACGATATATCATAGAATCATATCACTCGGCTTGGCGTTTCGGAGATATCAATTTATTAGCCCTGCGGTCACTAAGCCTTGTGAGTGTCCAACTTCAACTCGATACTAGTGACTATCTGAACCACTATTGCAACAATCCAGGCAAAACTGTGCCGAATGATAGTCTATGACTACGGCTCATCCTCTCCAAAAACCTCCCTCACAATCTCCTTTTTATTAACCTTCCCCATATGATTCCTCGGGATAGCCTCCAAAATCTTGATTTCTCTTGGGACCTTATACTCCGCAGCCCGCTTCTTCATCTCAGCCCTCATCTTTACTAAGTCAAATTCTTCGCTTTTGCCCTGCGGTGTGAGCACGAGCGCCGCTGCGACTCTCTGCCCCCACCTTTCGTCTGTGAGACCTACTACTACAGCCTCAGCCACTTGCGGCAGCTCAAGTAATTCTTGTTCGACTTCTAGGGCGGATATTTTCTCGCCGCCGGATTTAAGTACTATTTCCCAATATCAACCCGTGATCCTGTGGGCGGTTGGTGTGATTGGGGGAGCTTACTATCAACGCTTGTCCTACCTTTGATATAGTACGCCCCCCGCTCATCGCGCACCGCTATATCTCCAGTTTTGAACCACCCATCCTGTGTAAACTCCTTTTTCGTTGCCTCTTCCTTCTGCCAGTACTCGCGGAAGACGCTGTTACCGCGGATTTGTATCTCCCCTTCTTGCCAAACTTCCTTGATCTCTACACCATCGCTCACAAGACGTGCTCCGACGCCCGGCAGCGGCCACCCGACAGAATTTGCCATTCGGTCGGTCAGTGGTAAGCGTTGAGAGAGCGCCATACCAATCTCAGTCATCCCATACCGCTCTAATAGATTCCCGCCCAGAGACTCCCACTTCCGCTTTGTACTCGCCGGCAGTGCTGCAGAGCCCGATACCGCTAACCGCAAATTCGACACATTCTTCCTACCCGCAGAGCGCGTAGGCTCCGATAACGTCTCGAATGAGTCTATGAGACGGGAGTATATTGTTGGTACAGCCATGAACAGACTTATTGGCCTCCTCGAGGTATCGGCAAAACGGGACCAGATCTTTTGGGCGTTGAAGGGGAATAGATATTCTACTGCTCCGCCGGCAAAGAGCGGAGCTAGGGTTGCATTTACAATTCCGTGAACGTGGTGGAGGGGGAGGACGTGTAGGAGATGGTCATCTTTGCACATTTCCCAGGCCGTAACTAGAGTTTCTGCTTGGGTTGTTAGATTCTTGTGGGTAGAGACTACGCCTTTGGGGGCGCCGGTTGTGCCAGAGGTATAGATCATTAAGGCTCCTCGGAGGGGGTCTGGTGCTGGGGAAAGATCTACCGGTGCCGGAGCATCGTGCGGTTTGTTGGGGGGGTGCTCGAAAAGGTCGAGGATTGGTGGGGAACTAGAGCTTGGGGGGAATGCTTGATGAGCTTTGGAATGGGTTAGGATGAATGTCGGTGCGGAGTTTTTAGCGACATAATGAAGTTCTCCGGGTGGGTGGTTGGGGTGCAGAGGAACTGCTATTCCACCCGCTGCAAATATGCCCAATAATGAAACTGCAGAGTGCTCAGTCAGTAGTTGGAGGAATCGTGACTTTTTGGCAGTTAGTTGGTGTTGACGCACCTACATAGTTGTACCCATTCTCTACAAAAAGCGCCACTCGCTGTTCTTGCAAATCGTCAACTTTGGCCTTCTCCAGTAGTTTTCTCTTGAGCTTTGCTGTATCTGATAATAGGCTGTCATATGTAAATTTATCTCCGGACTCGGAGTGAACGATCGCAATGCTTTTTGGATTGTGTTTAGAGAGAGCTTCGAAGATTGGTAGCCGAGGTAATGTCTCAACAGTAATATTTCTTCGGATCATTCTGCGAGCTTGGCGGGTTGTTGAGAAAGGAACAGAGGTTGGGCGTCGTAGAACCGGAATCATGGCCTTATATCCTTTTCTCTGAGCCCTCAACAGAAATAAAGACGGAAGGTGAATACGATATCGCAAGAGAACGGAGACGACAATCACCGAGGGCTTTTCTGTTATTGCACGGAAGGGTCCACCTAAGGTACGATAGCGCCGATCTCGCCAAGACTTGAGGCTCAAGTGGGGCAATCCTAAACATTTCCACAAACAGCATTCTCCACTTCATTTGATCCCTTTTCCGCACTCACGCCCACTGCAATAACAAATGCTTAGATTTGTTAGGGGCTTCGCAAAGATGACGAGCTCTACTCCTGTCGAAGACACAATCCGCCGAAAGGTAGCATTTAACCTTGAATTTTTCCCGTACTTTTCGGGAATGAAGGATGAGCACTGATTTCTCGGGAGTGTAGCTTACCGTCGCTCTCTCTCCGATAACCCTACAAATTTATAACGACTCCGATAAGCATGCTCATCATAAGGCCATGGAAGGTGTCACTTCTAAGGAGACTCACTTTCGGTAAAGCGCTCGTCCTCCTATTTTATGGACCGTTACGCTAGCTAACTCACCGGAAGCCTTCTCATCACCTCCGCCGAATTCACAGGAAAACCTCAGCTTGCCCGACACAGGATGGTAAATGCTTTGCTCAAGGAAGAGTTGGAGCGTGAGGGTGGAATTCATGCGTTGCAATTGAGAACTTTGAATCCGGAGGAGGAAGAGAAGCTAAATAAGAAGGTGGAAGAGGGTGTAGTGGGATGATTTAGGCTTAGTCTAGATAGGAGGATCGCCATTACCCAGGCCACAAAATCATGTTGCTCTCTTGGTTGCTGGGAAAAATGGAGAAGCTTGGTGGCCTGGGTTTGGGAGGGAGGGGAGCGCGGTACAGTACTGTAAACTGGCAAAGCATTAAAGGTGGATACCAACTTGTGTGTCTAGGCAATTGACCCGTTCAATGGCTCCAAGAAGGACTAGGGGGATCTGAAAATATTGAGCGAATAGCTCGGTGCTATTATCTATGGGAAGGATTGTTCGGGAAGTTGGAGATAGGGAAGGTGGGCGAACGTGATAGATTACTGATTCTCTTAATTAATATTATGTACAGTACGAGTGAGTACCATAAAGACCCGAATAATTGGACGGTGTGCTATGTCGTTGGGTTTTCATTTCTCAGTATTGTCAAGAAATTTTGCTTTTTTTTTCTATCTTGAAAGGGTAAGGGGGCTATGTTTTACTGTGTTTTTTACCCCCATTCCGGAGAACAGAATTTTGGACTATGATACATGGCACACAGTCCAATTATTCGAGTTTTTAAGGCACTCGGGGAAAGGTGATGAGTTCCAGATTGTTATTGGATACTCTCTCTTGGAGGTCTAAGGCTTTGTCGCGTTTGAATACAGAGTTTAGAATAGAAGTACTGAACAGCGGACAATACCCGATCTCTCAAGTTGTGAATGAACCTCTTTTCTCAAGGACATGAAAACACATTTGTGTCGCAACCAAAAAAAAAAAAAAACATCTGGTAAATAATAGGCAATTATCATAAGTTGGGAAAAGAATTTAAAATTACTCCGGGTACTCGAGTACATAGAAAATTGGACAGTAATCTAGAAAATAATTATTAAATTTTAGTCTAATATTATTATTTGGATCCTTGCTGTTGGCCTGTGGGATCTTTTTATCCTACTCTTTTGGCATTTTTGACCAGGTGGTCGACCATTCTAGTATTCAAACAATAAAATTGTACTAATAACACCATACAATAATAGAGTATTGTTATCAGATCCTAGAAATATTTGACGGTGCTGAATGATTAATAATGGGAAATTTTGGGATGCTCCGAGATAGGGGGTCTTGATGTATCATAGATCGTCGAGGTGTTCCCAAGGCGCAGGCGGTTCGATCCTGGGGTTTCTAGAGGCCTCTATTATCAATTATTTCCATTTTCCATCTTTTATTGTTCTGGGCCCGCGGCTCTAAAACAGACGAGCCAAACACTCCGAACCCACTCCCTCTTAATTTGTATTTTCTCGAGCTTCTGAAGGCTTGAAAGTTAAGGCGCTTGCATTGGGCAACCCAGCTTGGCGTGTAACTTACGATGCCATTCATCAAACCTTCGGTACGATATCATATCGCATTTTTCAGGGTGAGACAAACTACATATGGGTGATGACCTGTGGATAGAGCTAGTCACCGAGTGACACCCGGTGACCTTAATTATTTTCAACCTTGTTTCAAAGGCCGCGTACACTGCTGCAGACAAACATCCTGCTAAAATACTTGAAAGCTAGATGAAAAAGGCGGTTTCAGTTCATCTGCTACACAAATAACCCCTTTCAAGATCGCTCTCTCAAGTCGTTCAAGGTAAGACACAATAATGGTTCCCTTCTCAAATAGTATGATATTGAATTTTGTTATGATAAATAGACAACGAGATTCCTTCAGTCCCAACCCTCACCTCTACTTTCCGAGTACCTCAAGAAGGAAGCTACAAAACTATCAGCCCCTTGGACCCAAAGCACAAGACCTACTGGCAAGCTCGACCTTCAAAGATAATTTGCTCGATCGGAAATTCAAAAAGAAAAAATCACGGAAATAGAGATGTGCAAACTAATACTCCGGCACTTCATTGCCTGCGATCATAAGACCTGGGTCAGGAGAGAAGCCTGTCCTAGTGCAGTTGACGACGACCCAACATATCCGTACCCGGCCTGCGATAGCTTCCCGACCACGTCTAGGTCGTTCATCGAACCGCCAACAGAGGCCGTTGTGGAGACAGTGCTCCTTGCGAGGGAGACCTGTAAGAAAGCATATTGTAGGTATACTGTTAGGCCTGAGAGGATCGGCGGGATAGTGGAGTGAGATGTGCAGTTTGGTGTAGAGTTGTGTGGGAGAGGGTGGAGCTTGGGGGGATGTTTTATTCTTGTTGTTTCTGGGGAGTTTCCTAGCTGTCTTGTCAGTAGCTATCTCTACTGCTGCTTTTGAATTTTTTTCGTGGAGTGGTTTAGTAAATTAGAGAGATTCTTAAGTTGAAGCCTTTGTTTAGTACCATTTGACGTGCGAGCTCTGCCCAAGAGTTTTTCCTAACTTGAGAAGATTGGAAAGTGGCGGTCGTGAGCCTGCCCTGTCGCTTGTGGAAACTATTTGTGCCTACCTAGTGCCGGTTTCCTTTCCCTGATACTATTCTTGACGTGCTCGATGCCTCATGGGGTTTTCAGTTCTAGAATATTACCCCCGTCCCTTGTATCGGCCTTCCTACAAGGCATGCGTATCATAAAGGTTGGAGAAGTTTGTCCATAGGTTTGGGGGCTGGCCTACTCCTCAGTATTGGGCTTTTCCGCCTTCTTGATGGGTTTATGAGATTTCGATTTTTGTTGCCGGGCGCATCCGGCCGGTAGCGAGCAGCCGGCACAGCTCAGCTGGAGGGGTAACCTCTTCGCTTCTCTACGAGATGGGTGGAGGGAGTCTATAAAGAGGCATATATCCCCTCCGTCTATTTGGTCAGCTGATAGAGCACTTGGAGAGTCAATTCAGTTGCATTGGCAGTACCCACGGGTGACCTGTTATAATGCCACTGCTCTACATGTTAGGTCGTGCATCTGGATTGGGGGCAATGCTCTTTCCAATCCCTAATCTCATGCACATATATTTCCAAAGCGGTTTTGCTGCGCAGCGCTTGGGTATGGTACAGGTGTGTTTGAGGTCTCCCAAGATGTGAAATAAACAACTACTAGAGACCTTTATTTGAAGATAAGGCAATGTTAGAGTGAAGAGTGTTGTTCGGTATTTTACCTAGAGAAAAGACTATCATAGTCTGAAGAGATTAGATACAGCAGAGACAGATGGTACATACACCCTATGTAGAATGTAGGGTACTTGATACAAGTCATGAATTCCAAATAAAACCCTGACCACAATACCTCCTGAGTATGGTACACACACCATAGACAACATGACCATTAACTCTATGATGATACTTTATTCGAACTTCTCTCTTTAACCCGCACACACTCTAACTTACCCGGTATAGAGACAAGAATTTACCATGATATAGAACCCCCCCTCGCTCACCTTCTTGTGCACTAGACGTGTATCATAGCTCAGACGCTTCGAGCGTGCAACAATTCGGTTCTGACCCTACACGGATCAATAAACCAGAGGTGCCTCCTCACTCTCCACAAATAGCTTACTCGTAGCCATAGAGATGGCCCATTCTATGTTCGCGGTGAGTAATAAAAGGTGAAGAACCTGTGATACGTACGCCAATATCTCTAGATTCCCTGGGCGTCTGCTGGCGTTGTAAAGGTATTACAGAGAGGAAAAGGGAAGCAGTGAGTGTTGACCTAAGAATTCCGAAGTTGTTGCTTTCTTATGTTTAAGGTTACATCAGTTACTACTTTCTTTTTCCTCTTCTCTTTTTGAGTTGCACGAACTGCCTCCGTGATATGATATGTACAGTAGTATTGTTTCCCCTCATATTTTATCCCCAGCGCCCCCCCCCCGCGCACGACACCTCAATTGTCAAATTTCGACTTATCCCCCACCGATCCCAAATGTTGACAAAAGGTTTTTGAGAGGGTATCATACCTTGGTTCACTCGAAAACACCATAACCCCGAACACTGTTTGGTTCGCGCGTAGTGGCTACTCTGATTATTAAGTTTTGGGGGCTGCGGGGTTGTTCTTTGGGAAACTATCGCTATCATGGGCCACTTGTGGAGAAATAGGGTTGCGGTCAACAATTGAATAGAGAGCGATGATAATAATATTATTGCGATAGACGCTTAACACCTCAAGCCCACCAGTTCCCAACATTTGCACAACCACCACAGCCACCCCTATACGCAATCACTCAAAAGCACACAATGGACCACCAGGAATCTAGTATCCTCTCCGAAAGGAAAGAAGATCTCTCCGCCTCTACCAACTCCACCGAACCAGCTCGCATCGAGGCCATCGGGAGAATAGCCTTAGTTCCCAAGTTTCATCGCTCCGAATTCCTCGTTATCAAGAAGACGGTCGAGGATGTCCTGTGTTGGTTCAAGAGCGTTGTGGTCCTCAAACACGTCAGACTCGAACTATTCTTCGCGGTGGAACTGGTCAACCACCTCCTTTCGCTAGTGCAGCTCGATAAGAAACACGGAGTAGACCTCCATGTTTTGAGGTATACTATCGGCAAGCTTAGAGAGGGTCTCATTATGGTTAAGGCTAAGGCCATGGAGAATGTAGAGCTTGCGATGCAGAAGGAGAGGAGGATTCAACGTAAAGCAAAAAGGAGAGAAGAGAGGATGGAGATGGAGAGGGAGAACATGGAGAGAATTGCTAGATGGGCGGTGGATGTGGCTGAGAGCACAGCCTGAGGAGGAAGCAGGATAGCTGTACGTTATTCAAGTGGTTCGGCTGTATTTCATCTACGACGGCTGTTTGCTCCCTTTAGTAACCTAAGTGAATTGGTCATTTTTAAGTTGTAAATTATGTCGTGGGGAAGTGTTGAATTCCTTACTGATTTGCCGTCCGCAGTGAAATAAAACGGGGGTTCCTGGTGGAATACCTTCTGGGCAGATTGTATGTGTGGTATACTTAGTTTGCAGACATCTTTGGCCTAATACTTGCTGGGGGCTTGTGTTTAGTTGAATTCTGCGGGCTGCTGGTCATGGGTTCTCACTCGTTAGTATCAAAGTGTTAAATTTAACAGCCAGTAGTTGGGCTAGAGGTCGAAAACATGAATAGTGCGAGCTAGGATTACACAGGGGGGGATTGGTGTGTTGCCCCCAAAGGTGGCATTCATGTTCCTATACATTAACTGAATGGGAAGTATTTGGCTCAAATTAGGTCTGATGGACGAACATAGGACCCAACTTCTAGATTGGCGGTGAAGGATCTTGTCGCTACTTGACAGAAGGGCGACATTGGGAAGAAGTTCTCGAGTGTTGCTGGTTTTGACGAGTATTAAAGGGTTACTATTAATACATATACGATCCGAACTATTGAAAGAGTTTTTTAAGTGTTGTTTTGTAAGTTTTTATTTTCAAGCTCTATCTATGCACAGTGGCGGCTCTGGCCATTATACGCTACCGCAATTCTTAAGCTTACTACCAAGAGTATACTAGAACCACGGTCATATATGTGTGTCCGAGTATGATACTGCGCATGCCAAATACCGAGCTCATCAAACCCCCCTGCCGAGCAAAAGATGGATAAAAGAGACGTCTCAAGCAGAGCCTATAGTAAATGAAATGGATTTCAAACGTGTTTCCTGTTCTCAATATGATATCCTTAGGGAAATTGGATTCGAGCTAAACACCATCCATTGGACCTTGGGAAGCTCTCTTCACAAGGCTGCATTTCTCCCTCAATCTTTCAAATCCTTCATTGCTGCTAACCGATGAATGGAAGCTAGGATAGAAGCGTACTTCGGCAGTCAAAGGTACCAACCCCGTGTGGTACTGTACGCGCAAGGGAGAGCACACTCGAGTATGATACCACTTGTTCGTAGTATCATAGATTATCATATCCGGTCCCTCGTGGGACAGCTCGTGAGAAACATGCGCGGAATGAAAACACGTGACAATTATCGAGCCAGGGAACCCTAGGATTAAAAATAAAAATTGAAGTCCTCTGTTCTGTTCGACAAGCCACAAAAAAGTGATATTTCCACTTATGGCATTTTTCAATTGCAAATAGGGTCTTGGATAGGCAGCTGTCATTTTGGGTTCACGTACCAGTGGCAGAACAGGTACCGGCACACCGCAAGCTTGGCTTCTCCGCATCGCAGCAATGAGTTACCGGTCCTCGGTTCAACCACTAGCTTGCCGGTGGAGAATATTGCCTATTGCTCAGCAGAGGGCAGGTCCAAGCAGTCTTTTAAATGTTTCTCCTCGCAACAGTTACTTCAAGTTGTTGAATGATATATTTGGGATATGGGGTTCAAACGATGACAGTGCCGGTATTCCCCACTGCTCTGTGCGTAACTACCGGCGTGGGAGGTTTTGTGGGCCTTTCCTTAGTTGGATGATGTTTCAACCGAGCCGCACCTCGTGGGAAATATTGCTCTGTGACCTGCTTGATATATCATACCGAAAGATAGGAGGGAAATTGAATTGAATCAGCATGTTGTAAATTGACTGGCACAGAAGAAGCGGAGTTAAACCGGATTGAGATAGGTAAGAACCACTGTCTGAATTGTTGTCGAGGGGTGGTTGTAGCTTGTTGAAATAAGAAGGAACTCTCCTGGCTTATAATATATTATGATACAGAAATCTATGCATGCCAAGCTATCTACAATACAGGAAATTCAGAGTGTATGATATCATATCAAAAACCTCACGGCTTTCAGATAATACCCTATCGACTCTGCCCTCACTCCATACTAGTATGGTATCTTTATTCGAGCTTGTTTTTCCCTTGGTCTTCCAGGCCCGCCCCCATCCTTGGTAACCTAGGGCTACGAGCACAACCTAGATTTGTCCCAAGGGTCTACTCGGCCAAACTTGTTTGTGCTCGTAGACCTAGGTTACCAAGGATGGGCCTGCCCATACTACCCAACAAATCAAATCGGCACAAAAATTTACGATATCATACCCCCCGCAATCGTGATTCCTAGCCCCGTATGGCACACACATGGGCGATTTCTACAAGTAGTATGATACTTACTAAAATTAATCCCTTGCGTGCCGGTAAATTCGCTTCAAAAAGATTGAGAGACTATCTTATCAGAAAATAGAGCCAGTGACAAGTTTGAGTATTACCGGTACAATGCACCCCGTATGGTCCCGATTGTACGATAAAGCTGCTAGCGTGGCCAGATTGCAATTATTTTTTACTTGGTGTTATCATCTGATAGCAAGAAACTCGGCTGTAATCTAAAACTTGAGTATGATACAGTACCTGGTCACTGGGGCAAGTAAAAATATACTTTGTTACTGGCGCCCACTGAGGTAGTGGCCTACTCGGTCAATGGGGTAGTCTATCTCCTTGGCCAAGTAAGCTACTTGACGATTGGGACGGAACATATATTTATCGTGGACAAGATGCTACAAAGTGGATTTATCGCACTATTTATGGACGGTAATTAACTCCGGGGATCGTAAGACGAACGTCAACCATTAATTTACAGTGCCCCCGATGCTCAAAAAGAAGGGAAGCGATCGCGCTTGTATCGTAGAATCCATATCACAGAACCTAGAAACTATACCGTCTCTAACTTCAACGCCTCCTACGCCTCTTCCTCGGATTCGCCCGACGATTTCTATCCCGCCTCGGGCGTGGCTCATCGTCATCGTCACTCTCCAATTCAGTCAAAGAGTCGTCCTGACCATCGGACAAATTCTCTTCTTCGCTACTGCTTTGCTCCCCATCGCTAGAGTTCAGGAGTATAGGGCTCTTAGCCGAGCCCAACCTCCGGCCTACTACCATATCTCCTTCTGTATCTTCGACTTGCATGGCGCTCTTTTTCGCCTGCGGCTTCCGACCCCCCTGTAGTGGTGGTCGGGTAGGTGCCATAAGGGTGGTAAGTGCTCTAGAATTGGCAGGACGGCTCTCGGAGGCTCCGGCGGAGGCGGGAAATGCTGGAGATGGAACAGGCGGTCTGGGATCTGCTGGACCAGCCGTCGGGGCGATTGGTGCGCTGTTTGTTCTTATCGCTCTTGAGCGCTCTGTGGTCCCCTTTCCGCCCTTGAGGTAGTCGAATTTATGGCTCACTGGTCTCGGTACTCGGTTTGCCTTTTTGGGCCTGCTCGGTTTGTCGCCGCTGGTAGTATTTAGGCCGGGGATTTCGGGTGGCTCTTTGTGAACGAATTTCACTTGTTTGTTGTTGTAGCTAGAGATCTCAGAAAGGCGCAATGTTAGCTCAGTTAAACTGTTGGACACCTAGGCTCAGAAGAAAGGAAGGGTCTATCCTCACCCGTAATCGAAAAATAATTCCTCTCCAGCTATAAGATCCCTTCTAGCAAACATGCCAATTCTATGGGTACAATTTGCCATAAATACCCTTGCATAGCAGTTTGGTTTCTTTGCGGAATGGTTGACATATCGGAGCTTATTTCCAGCCCTAGTAGCATCGATAACCTGATCTGAAGTTCATACTCATTAGTTTCCAATCACAGCTGAGAAAGAAAGGGAAGGTTAACATACTGCTGTTAAGGTTGAATAAGAAGCTGACACCTCTCCTGTCATAGAGCTTGCCCCTTCTGTCTGCCTCCTCGGTAGTTATAACTTCTCCTTTATACTCTCCCAGGAAAACGCCCCCTTTCACATCTTCCCCAACAAATAGCCCGAACCCAGCAACCGCGCTCCTTCCTAGGAGGGTCCGTTTTGGCATGTCTCTCTGTAACGCCACATTTTGACAGCAATTGTTTGAAAAAGCGTCATCGTATCTATTCTTCGGGTCAAGTACCTCCGCTGCGCCACAAGTGTGACAAAGATCCACATCACACTCTCTATTGGCTTTGGCACATATGCATTTGTTCTCCAAAGTACATGCCCTGCCCTCACGTTTACAGGTACAACCTCGCCAACGGCGAGGACAGGATGGTGAGCAGATACAAGACTTCTCGCACGTTACATGCGATTTCACGCAGGGGCAGGTATTTGTGCATTGGCCAAGATGTCTACACGCTTGGAAAGTAGTTCGTCGTTCGTGGGTATGGGTGCGATCGCAGTCTGGGGGATAGCCTGGCAAAGCTGATACCGGAAATTTCTTCCTCTTGGTGCCCTGTTTAGGCTCCGAATCCGGCATATCCTCGGGGGATGCTGCTGTGGCATCATCCGAATCTGGAAGTAGTTTCTCTACCAGTAGTTGGCTATAAATCTGTACCCCTAAACGTTGGTTTCTTGAGCATCGGACAGGAAGGGGTAATCTTACTTCGGCACATGGCTTGTTTATTATCGATGTCAATAGACAGGCGCAGCGTGCGTTGTTCTTAAGCACCGCCGCTGAAGACTTTAATAGGGAGATTTGTGCTGTCGACCAAGGATTCTGAAAATCTTTCTTTTTATCTCTGTCCTGGAAAACAATGTTAACCCAGGAAGTTTAAAGAAACGCTAGGTTTACCTTTATAAAGCAACCGACTGAACATTCTTCATCTTTGCCGTGCCACGGATCGACCGTTGCTCCCTTACTCATACTTGCCCACCCGGGGACGCTGGTGGCTACTTTCAATGGAATAACGTCGCCTTTCCTAGTTGGCTTGGTTATATCAACGTCATCATCATCGTCCCCACCAGACATCGCTAACCGGTCATGGTCTTTGCTGACTGTTTTGAACAAAGAAGCATCGTTAGCATGTGGGCAATTGGAGAGCAATAAGAGTTTTACGGTTTGCGGAATTGACTTACGATGAAATCGGCACTCATGCATGTAGCAAAGAAGGCAGTTCAACGTTGCATAACTCTCAAGGCTGTATGGAATCGGGTTTCCTCCGGTCTGGGCCGCAATTTCTCTTTCCTTGCTCCCATCATCCGTATCTTTCGCAAAAGCTCCACCTACACCATTGGTCACTTTTGCTGAAGAAAGGCAGTCCCTAACTGCTGGTGCAACCCGCTTAACAACGTCCCACATGGAGATTTTTGTCTGCTGTTTAAATATTCGACAGACAGACTCAGCCTTTTCCAGTTCCCCCATGGTGACTGTCCCTAGTCGCTCTCGTAATGGCCTTTATTTTTGCATCCTCGCGATCGAAATCGTTGGGTAGGGCTGCAGCACGAAGGGCTTCACTACGAGGCTTGCTGATACCATTATTGATCCCTGTTATATCACCAACAAGGTATCCAACAATTGCATCAAAGCCGAGGTTTAGATCTCGCAGAAAGTCGTGTATGAAAGTCGTATACATTGCGGCACCTGGGTTGAAATTAGTGGAAAGCTATCGGTCTATTGGGGTAGCCATACACTCATCCTTCTTTCCTTCTTCCGCAGTTGCTCTAGTTCTGTCAATGAAGGTCTCTTCGGCGCTGAGCTGATTAATCTCGTCGTCGCCAGCCTCATCTCCAAGGTACGGATAGTATCTCATGATTTCATCGTCGTCTGAAAGTATGTTATTCCTGAGAGTAGTATACGAGTGGTATTTTGGAACCTTTTCCAGATCCCCAGGTGTTTCTGCCACCTTGGCTGGCAACACTAGTCGGTACTCAGACAGTGCGTGAGGCCTGGTGTGATGTCGAATGTAAAGCCTCCCCACATCAATCTTCCGTTCCTTCGCCTCTGTAGCTGTGATATCAATACTACCCATATCCTTAAACGGAGACACCTCGTCGTAAGAGATCCCGGTGGTGCCACTTCCTGGGGCACCGTCATAAAAACCTAGGGCGTTGATATCTAATCTAGCTGAAATGAGGCAACTCCTCACTATGTAAGCATGCGTCTTCCTCATCTGTAATAAATGTTTTTGAAGAAGCGATCTGCACGGGGCAGATTTAGCATCGAGCTCCTGGTCTAGCTTTTTGCGACGAGCGTTCCACTGTTCGATGTTGGTAGCCATTGGGGGTATAGGTAGGGCGGTATTGGGACTCCCTAGAACGCCTAAGGGATTTTGTATCCGTTCTCTAGAAATGTAAGAAAATTTAGTAAAGGCTTCATCACGAGCGCTTGGGACTTGATAGGATGATGGGGCAGATGAACGCCGCTCTTCCTCCCCACGCCATAGGAGAGGAATCTCTAGGCTAAGATCGGGAACATGACCAGCCTGTAGATCCTGTGCAGACCAGGACCCCGCCTTCCGAAAAGAACCCGTTGTTGCAGTTGAAAAGGAGAGATTCTAAGTGGTGGGGTGGCAGGCAATGCCGGGAAAGCGTAATTCAGTTGGATTCCAGGATAGGGGAACACTTACATTGGTGATGTAGAACCAAAAGGATTGTAGGGATAGTAGTCTATCTAGAGACACAAATGATTTTGTAAGAGAAGGTTAGTTATGATTCTGGGCGAAAGTTAGAGTTGAATGCACATTTCACAAGGGCGCCAGGGGTCGGTGTGACGCGTTGAGGCTCAACACTCTCCACGGCAGAACGAAGACTAACTAGTCACCTGACCGTACCGTAAAGTACGATGCCTTATGGAATTTCTCTGCATAGTGAACCCCCTCACCCTTCCAGCGCCCCACCAAATTTGACTATCTCCCCTCATTCTCGAGAAAAGATGTTACGGGTATCTACAGGCCTCTCCCCACGAACCTTTGTTGAAAAACGTCTGCTAACTGTTTAAGCACGTCTCTAACCTGTCACCTGTGACTGCCCTTGCTTTCCAAACTGCTCAAAACTTTCCAAACTCAGTCCCCGGATCGAAACTACTTGTTGGTGAAGGACCATTTGTTAAGATCTTAGATATCGTTACTCGAGAGTCTATCCTTAAACGTCGAATATTTTCCCGAGAACGAATTCACGGAATCACACTCTCACCACGCAATCAACAAAACGTCTTGTTTTGGGGAGGAAGGAGCATATGTATTACTGCGATAACTTCTTTACCTAGGGAGGAATGTGTCCCCCGAGAAATTCGCGTACCAGACTGGGTTTTCTATGCTGTATTCATTCCTTCTCCAACTTCGGCTTCAGGCGAAGAGGCGGTTGTCATCACTGCCCACAATGTGTTACTTAGATACGATAATGCTTCGACAAGCTGGTACGAGCTAGCGTCTGGGGAGCGCTGTATGCTATATTCCGCTCATCTCCATATTGCGGCCGATGCCCTCAATTCCCAGGACCGAGTTCTAGTTGCAGCTGGCACTGTTTTTGGCCAGATCATACTATGGTCGGCTGCAATGGTCCCATCATCATCAGGTATTAATGCCCTGAAAAATCCCAAGACCTACCGTAGACTTCTCGGTCACGAAGGTTCTATCTTTGGTGTTAACATCTCACCCAAATATCATGGCGGCAAGTGTTACCTCGCTTCCTGCAGCGACGACAGAACTATTAGAATATGGGATATATCCCAATTTGACTCCTCGCTCCCTTTATCAGATGATACAGAGATAAAAAAGACAGGATTTGGACATGAAATAGCACAGGAAGGTCGGTGTATTTCCGTGGGTTGGGGTCACGGAGCGCGTATTTGGGGTGTCCAGTTTCTCCCAGTAACCAAGGAGAGCTCGATCGAATTGCTTTCAATCTCAGAAGACTTGACTTCGAGGTTTTGGGCATTTGACCCGGGACAAGAAAATTCCGGGAATATTGAACTGAAAAGTATAGCTACCTACCGATTACATTCCGGCAAACATATTTGGAGCTATGCTCTAGATTTTGAAAGAGGGCTATTAGCTACTGGTGGTGCAGATGGGAAGATTGGGCTGGTACGTTATCGAGATGACCAAGCAAGCCGAGAGGAGGCATGGGGGATGGATTCTGTGTTAACACAGATTGGGGATTCTCGAGAGGGGCTCGGCGAGCCTAATCACAAAGTTAAAAAGGCACATGATGCGTTTAAAGAATACGCAGCTCTTGACAATGACTGCTTTGCTGCAACAACTACTCTAGGTAGAGTTTTAACCTACAGACTCAGTCAGAAGAGGTGGGACCTACTCGGTCAGTGGACAGGACTAAAGGGTTGGAGCATTTTGGCATCCTGGGAAGACTCGGATCTGATTGTCCTAGGAGGCAACAATGGCCAGGTTGGAGTTTTAGACACAGCATCAAAGCAAGAATGGTGGTGGCAGTCAATGGCTGGTGAAAATGGCAAAGTTGCAGGAGTATTCCTCGGAAGAGTCGGTACTGGAGGTGTGTCTAATCTGTGCAGGCTTTCAATTCCCCTGATTCTGTATCTAATTCAATTAATCGTTCCATTCATTGAAATAATGTAGACGAACAAAAGTACTATATCCTGACCACAGCTCTATCGCCAGCAATCTTTTCTTTACATTCTTTCAAGATGGATCACTCGGAGTCACCACCAGTGCTAATCGATAGAGAAACGTTACTACTACAGTCACCTGCCCGGGCAGGAGACACGAAATTCCTGGTAACCAGCCTGGCGATCAGTCAAAGGACAGACCACCTATTTCTCGGCTCCCGAACAGGGGCATTGGCGATTTATGACTTATCTTCTACAGTTAGTCCTCTGTGTGCACTTTCCCACACCCTCGTTCACCCAACAGACGCCATAACCACAATCCTCCCGCTGAAATCCGGGATTTTAACCACCTCCCGCAATGGCGAATACTCCCGCCTATCCATATCTCCACCACCAAACATCCGCCTTACAAAAACTCACGCCCTAAAACCCTCTTTCGTCATCGAGGGCGCCAGGCAAGAGGACAGTTTAACCCTCTGGGGCTTCCACGGAAAGAACTTTACAATAATAGATCAAACCTCCCAGCACGAAGTGCACTCGGTGGCCTGCGGTGGAGCGCATAGGTCTTGGACACATAGACTGAACTGGTACTTTGTCTGGACAAAGGCCGGGAAGGTGCTTTTCCCTCTCTAATTCCTGCGAAGACGCTAACTTCACTAACTACAATCGAAAGGCCCACCTCGCGCGCACCTACCCACGTCGCAAGCTTTTGCAGTCGGGCCTCCACGGTCGAGAGGTCAAGTCCATAGCAACACACGGTGATCTCATCGCTACTGGTGCTGAAGACACGCTCCTCTGCCTATCAACGCTTTCCTCCTCCGGGCAATTGTGCCCGTGTGCGGTTGTTGGCACGCACACTACAGGCATCCACGCACTGCAATTTACTCCCAGCGGAGAGTACTTATTTTCCGCCGGCGGTGCAGGGGAACTACTTGCCTGGCGAGTCCGCTCCGCCAACGAGATTGTTCTCGGAGGCACGTGCGAGGGTTGGAGCGATCTTCGAGTTGAGGGCTTCGACCTATTACCTGTCGAAGGAGTAGGAGAACGGGGGGAAGGGGGGATGTTGCTTGCGATCGGCTACTCAGATTCTACCATCCGTCTCTACAACTTCTCCCCATCAACCGGAGCCTTCAACCTAGTGATGAAGGGTACATACAAGACCTGCTGCATCCTACACGTCAAGTTCCTCCCCAACAACGATGGGATCCTAGTTGCCGGAACAGACGGGTATCTGAGTATCTATCCGCTTTCGGATCCATTCTCTCCCACATCCCCTCCACACCCGCTCCCACTTCCGCCGAAGTTGGTAGAAAAGCGCATTCACCAAAGTTCAGTCAAAGCCCTCAGCGTAGCCTCCAGAGCGAACGGTGTCTACATCTACACGGGTGGCGATGATTGTGCTTTCGGCATTACCCGCGTCGATACCAAAAACAGTGTTGCAGAATCGTGGATTGTGCCGAGGGCGCACGCTAGCGCCGTTACTGCTGTGGTGTGTGTTGGTGAGCACGTACTCACTGCTGGGGTGGACCAGCAGGTTAAGCTGTGGAAGGTGAGTGAGGGGGAAGAAGGTATCACAGTTGAGATGCGGGAACAGCGGGGGAGTGCTGTTGCGGATATTTCTGCTGCGGAGATGGCTGGTGGTGGGAAAGTAGTGATCGTGGGGGTTGGGGTGGATGTTTGGGAGGCGAGTGATGAGTTGTGATGGGTCTTGAGCTTCAAGTTGGATGAGGGGACGAGAATTTTGGATATCTGCATGTTTCGGGATGTGTTAAAATGGGTTATTATAGAGAACGGAGGTCCCCGTTCGTCTGTTCGGAAGAGCGTCCTCAAGCCATTAAGACTGGCCGCATAATGTCCCCTATTTTTTTTACGGCGGAGCTCAATTGATAGTAACTGGCTCCACATTAATCTTAACGTTCATATCATCCATATTCTAGGATATCATAGTATCATACAGGGACAAACCCGCGTGACGAACCCACGCAGCCAACAAAATCTAGATACCGCCCTAAAAAAAAAGGGCCATGCTCCAGTGGTTTGTTTTATTTGCATAATACGTAATATTTCATTCTGAAATAGGGTGGTATTTCTTATCACTGGAGGAACCGAGAATATATGTCTGGGTGCGGAGGAGGTTTCCCGTGCTTTTGGTTCGCTATCAAAAGCCTGAGATATAAACTTGAAGTCACTGATATTGCATTCTTTCAGCATCGCAAGCCTATTGGCACAACGAAATGAACGGCGCGTTTTGTCAAACAGGTTACAGGATAAGATTTTCGGGGCCTTCGGGTACTAACACTGGAATTGAGGGACTAAAATGAAATCTTCTCTTAGCTGGTAGGTTATGTGCCACAGCAAAATAAAGTTCACATTGTTGGTGCGCTCATTTTTTGTTTAACCCTAGACCCTTTAAGGATACAATTTTCTGATGTTCTAGATGCTCTTGATGTATCACACTTCTAATTCTGCAATTAAAAGAACTATTATAATATAATATTATATGATAAGAGCTATAAGAAAAGACGAATAATACATTTTTTTCTTTGTAATTTATGGTAGGAGACTATTTCTAGTATTATAGCCCACTAGTTCCGTGTCGAGAAGTGACATGTGGCAGTAGAAGAATTCCGCAAAGTTGATATATCACTTCCAATCAATGGAAGGTCGGTTCAAAATCATGAATTACAAGCAAATAAAATCTCTGTTAGAAGTTGGTGATTGGAGAAGTGAAGCCAAAGGTATCGGGTCTGAGGGTAGGCAGGATTTTGGAATAGTATTATTAGGTCGCGATCAAATAGGGAAACACCATAGTATCTGGAAAGTTATGTAATCTGTCATATACTATCACTCGCTATATATCTCCTTCGATATTTATACTCTCTTTGCTGCTTTTGCCCCTTTAGCGAGACCATAGCTTCACCCTGACTTTTTCTGGATGGTACGGCATCAGTTGATGGTGTTTATGGTGATAGAGAGGTGTTATTTAAAAAAGGCCATACTGCCCATACTACTACTTGGGGAAGTTCAGTTACTGACAGGGTTTTTTCTTTTAGGTATGATACCGGTATGATATGATGTGATATGATGTGATATCCATTGTGTGGTATCATGCTTGGGATGGGCAATGATAACAAAATAAAATGGGCCAAAAGCAAATTTGAATTTTGCTACTCTGAAAAAATCTGCTATATCTTGTTGAACCAGCACAGTGCACTATATGATAGATAGGCAACAGCATGGGCCTAGCTTCCCATATGCCAGTATGAGTGTTTTTTTGAGACAAAAGCTGAGAAAACAAAAGGCTGAAGAGGTTGCAAAGAATTGTCTAGGAGTATGACACGATATCACACAATGCACGATCTTGACGATAGAACCCGCCAGGACCCCCTGTTTTACACCGGAAATGGCTGGTTTTAAAAAACGCACTCAAATTGTTTAAATGCAAAGGGGAGTCAACGAAATCAGTTCCACGGTGTAGGCAATTACCCGGGCTCTCTGGTAGAAACTACGATAATTATCCTACTCCACCATGAGGGCTGAGAGCTGAGGGGCCGGATTGGATGATGTTGTGTTGTACTGTATGATACCTTTGTATGGGAAACCCGTAAAAAATTAGGAGCATTTTTTGCCCACTATCATTATTTCTGGTATGATATTATCATAATATGGCACCATGGACATCAACTAACAGAATCGGAGCCTATCACTTATGGATGATAATATCTAGATGGTTGAAAAAGGCTCTGGCGGATTTAAATTTTTTTCATAGAGTGAAGTGACAAAACTGAGACTTTGCAAAACGGAAGTACCCATTTTTGGTGTGAAGGGGGGGGGTGTCGACGAACAATGTCGCCAAGATCGCACAAAAGGCCGACAGACCCATAATTAATATACTCGTACTGGAATACTCCGCAGGGTTTGACGCTGACAAGAGTGGCGCTTTTTTGTGTGACACTATATTACAAGCATAACGTTGGAGAGAAAAAGAGAAATATATGGAGTTTTTTTTCATTTTTTTTCACCTACAGGTGCCAACAGCCTTTCGAGGGGGAAAATTGACTACCGGTATCATACTTAGCTCTCGGTTAGGCCGATGGTTGGTTTGAATTGATGAGATGCCAGGAACAAGTTCTGATTTCGACTGGTAGTCGCTGCTAGCAAACTGCCGGCTCAGGCTGCCTGTGCTTTTAGAAGAAAGAAGCTGCACCCCAACTTTGGTAACATATCATACCTATGTATTCACATTTGTGTTTGGGCAATGTACGAGTAGTAAACGTATTATGGCATGATACAGGTACAGTACCATTCCCGACTTGGGGGGTAGTGCTATATACCACGAGCGCCGGGTGTGATGCCGATAAAAAGCATTTTTTACTCAAAAATTTGACCCCAGTTGGCCTCTTTTTTCGCTCGAGGCTCTGATATCGAAGGCTGAAACGAAAGCCCTGACTCAGTGGGCATCAGCCGAGAGCATTCTTTTCACTTCTGGATAGTGATTGGGGGAGCACATACTCGTGCAACACCGGAGCCTTATAAATCACCACCCCCTCTTTCTTCCCCCTCTTTCTTCAGGTTCTAGAGATTTCTTCGAACTCCGAGAGGAGTCAGGTTCCCACTGCGCAAGATCCCTCTCATCCCTCGCAAAAGGAGGAAATATGCAGTCAGGGAACCAGCAGATCACCGGTAATATCAACTCGTTCAATATTGTCAACATCGTTGCAGAGAATGGCGACGAGGGGCGTCAAATTCTGCAGTGGTTATCGCCGCTTGAACCACAGCAGCGGCATCGAGGTGTACGAACGGACCGACTTGATGGTGTGGGAAACTGGGTACTGGAAACCAACGAGTTCAGAAAATGGAGTGATACGGAATATGGTTGCATTGAGCCAGTGTTATTCTGCTACGGGAACCCGGGAGTGGGGAAAACATATCTCAGGTAGGAATGTCTCTTGTTTGGAGAAATTCGGTGCGGATGTAGCTAATGGTCACCAAATAACAGCTCCCTAGTAATTGATAGACTGTGCGAGAAGGCTGGGGGAAAAGACATTGCTGTCGTAGGACTCTACTACGACTTCCTTGCCCAGCAGGAACAGTCCACCACAAGTATGTTAGGAGCCATCCTCAAGCAACTTATCAGCAGAGAAGAAATCCCCGAACATATACGGGAGGCTTTTCAGAAGGCCAAGAATGAGTTTGGCCGTGACCTCCGACTTCCTAATCTGGTAAAAATTTTGAAGGAGACTACTGCATCACTGCCGCGGGTATACATATGCATAGACGCGTTAGACGAATCTGCTCCGAAGCAGCGGCGGGAGATCCTTGAGTCACTGCGGGAATTGGTTCGTGTATCACCAAACACGCGGGTATTCCTTACCGGGAGGCCCCATATCGACGACGAAGTCGTGAAATATTTTAGCAAGGTCGTTAAGATATCGATTAGTCCTGCTCAAGCTGATATTAAGAACTATCTGGAGATGAGGCTGGACCATGACACTGATTCCAGTGCAATGGATGACAGTTTACGGGCGGATATTATGAGGATCATTCCGGAAAAGATCTCAGAAATGTAAGTAAGAATATCAAGTACGAAATTCCTGGGTTATTATTCACTAACGATGATGTCTAGTTTCCTTCTCGTTTCTCTAACCGTCGATGCGATCCTGGGCGAGATTACGCTCCATCAGAGAAGGAAAAAGCTTGACGAGATGACCAAAGGGGAGGGTCTGGGTGGCGCTTACGCGGCGACCTTGTCACGAGTGAAGGCGCAACAAGGAGGCAAATCGAAACTCGGTATGGAGGTCCTGATGTGGGTGTTGCATTCTGAAAGGCCCTTGAGTCTTGACGAACTATGCCACGCCTTGGGGGTGGAAGAGGGATCTACCGACTTGAATGTTCGGAATATTCCAGCAAAGAAAACACTAATCGCATGCTCTATGGGTCTTGTCACTGTTGAGAAGTCCTCGTCAACCGTCCGCCTTGTTCACAACACTCTACAAGAGTACCTCTCCCATAATCCCGACTTGTTCCATAAGCCGCACTCGATGATTGCGGAGGTTTGTTTAACCTACCTCAACTTCCGCAATGTCAAGGGGTTTTCACCTACTCTTCGTTCGGTTCCACCAACCATCCCCTTTCTTGAATATGCTTCTTGTTACTGGGGCGCACATGCTAGGCGGGAGACCACTGAAAATGTGAAAACGCTTGCATTGAAATTACTTGGCGGATACGACAAGCACATATCTTCGAAGATGCTGTTATTGCATGGGATGGGCATTGGGGGCCGGCATTCTTATCGACGGGTGGGGAGGGGCCGCATTCTATTTCCAGCGCTTCACAGTGTCGCATACTTTGGGTGTGTGGAGATAACGATTGCTTTACTGGAGATGAATAAATGGGATACACGGGCGACTGATTCCGATGGGAATACAGCAATCGCCTGGGCTGCCAGGATGGGGCATGAGGAGGTCGTGAGAATACTTTTGGAACGGGGCGACGCCAATCCCAACACAACTGGTGCCAGGCATGGCCAGTCACCGCTCTCGTGGGCTGCCGAGAATGGGCATGAGGGGATCGTGAGGATACTGCTAGAACGGGACGACGTCGACCCCAACACAGCTGACACTCAATATGGCAGAACACCGCTCTCGTGGGCTGCCAGGAATGGTCATGAGGGGGTCGTGAGAGCACTGTTGGAGCGGAACC